AAAAATAAAAACTAAAAAATAAAATATGGAAAGATGTTATCAAACACAACCTTAACTGTTTCCTATGCCTTACAATTTTACTTAGTTGTTTCTTACGCCACAAAGTTTTACTTATTTGCATACTAAGTGTATCAATTATTTCATTTTTATTTTAGAGTGGAGAAAGGAGGGAATGAAAAAAAGTAGAAAACAAGAATTAAGAGTTTGTATCATCTAAGGGTTTATCTAATCTATATTCTTTAGGCATTAGTTATAGGTACATTAATATCTAACTTATATGAAAATCTTACTGGAGTTAAAATCATGATTAACATTTTTAGAAAGGAGATATTTGGAGATTCAAAAATATTTAGGTAAGTCATCCACATTAGCATCAGGGGCATACCAATCTAAAATAAGACTTTGCACTTTTTCTTGTAATTTCCTCTACCTCTTTTTCCCTCAATTAAATTTTTTCTCTCCCCTAAACACCCTTGATTCTCTTGTTGATATCGAACCAACATATCTTTAGCTTTCTAATTTCCTCATTCCCTACTTCCTCCACTTTAAAAAAAGGGGATTGATGAAAATATGAATGTCCTTTCTCTGTATAAGGTATTTTTTACATCTTTGGTTGAGCTTAAAATTAATTGAAAATTGTTCAATTCTTTTAATAGTTACAACCTTTTCACATTAACTTGCATGTATTTCAAAATTAAAGAATAATTTTATAAGCAAGACCCTCTTTTTGGCCTACGGCTTTATGTAATGCAAAAGGGTGAGTCCACCATTGAAGGTGGTTAGTTCCCAAAAACAAAGTCATTCCCTGATGGGACATTCTTTTCTCATTTAGTCTAGGGTTTTGGTGTAAGGCATTGGAGGTCTGCATGGCAATGTCACAAAGTTCTGATCTTGGTGTGCTAGGGTGTGGATCTAGGGCTGTTGTTGGTGCCAACCTATGCTTACTAGTGCTCAATGGATGGAGGGTTAGGTTGGTTGTCCATTGGAGGTTGGTGACTAGATCATTGAAATGGAAGCAAGAGTGGCACAAGTCCCCCCCCCCTTGGATTGGAGGTCGGGGCACTAGCTTTAATCTCCCAAAGATTTGTGTGCAAAATCCCTAATGATATGTTTCATTTGAAAGAAATGGAGAGGAGGTGAGGGGAAGGGAAGGATGGATTTTTTTGATCAATCAAATTATAATCTCCTATAATAAATTACATATCATAAATGATATGTAATTTATGACTATGACCATTTTATTTATAGGCTTTATAAACCAACATTCTAAATTATTAATGCAATTGTCATTCATAAAAAGAGAAAGGGAGAACAATTTTAAGAGCAAACCTCCATTTAAAAATTGTCTTAACATCTCTCTAAATTTGAATAGCTTTAAGTTTCAAGTGGAAATTTCAAATGGTTAAAAATTTGAAATCTAAGTTAATGATTTGATATCAAATCTTAAGAGATGTGAAAAAAATTAAAGAAATGTAAAACCTATTTCTATTGTATAACTAATTTATTATTTGATGTAAACAAAAGTAAATAGTTTTAACATTAGTCCAACCTTATTTTAATTTAGAAATCAAATTTTTCTTCAACTTCAGAAATTGCATATACTTTCTTATATTTTAATCCCAAATTATTGCAACTTCAACAATTAAGGATAAAATAATCGAATTTGACTTTTTATTAAGGGCCTGTTTGGTAGTGCTTCTAGGAGTTTCAACTTTTTGATACTATTTATGTTTCATAAGTTTAAATTTTTTTCTTAAAAACTTATATTTTTAAATTTTTTTTAACCTTAAAAAGACTTCAAACAGTAAAAGTTCAAAAACTTCAAATTAAAGTTTTTCACAATCTCTCTTTTTACTCCCTTTTTACTATCTCTAAAAGCAACTTTTAAATTTTTCCTCCAATAAAAATTTAAACTTATAACTCATAAACAATAAAAAAAAAAAAGAAAAGCAAAAACTCCAAGAAGCACTACCAAACAAGTACTAAATTTAGAGGGACTCGAAAAAAAGTTCAGGGACTAACCAAAAAAATTGAAACGACAAACTGTTATCCGTCGTTTTGAGGAATCCAATCGCTCTTGTCCATTCCACAAAGCCCGTTGATTCCTCCCCTTAACAGCAAAACCAAAAAAATGAAGAAAGGAGTGATATTAGCTTTCTTTCTCACTCTCTCGCTCTTCTCCTTCCCCTCTTTCCAATTTGATTCAATGAGCTCCCCTTAGACGACGAGGAGTTCGGTCTCAAGGGCGCGGCACCTCGCTTCCCTAAACCCGCAAAGTTGGGAGTCTGACTCCAAGATCCAGTTCACTCTGAAGCACGCTTTCGACGACTTCGATTTTGTTCTCATTGGCACTTTCTCTGCCCGCCTCAAGACTTGGATTCACGGTGGCCAAGTTAGATTTAAAATCCGATGCTAAATTACTAATCTTGAATTCATTTCTGATTACTAGTTCAACTTCTTGGTTGTTTTCGTCCTATTTGGCTGTTATGGGGATCAGTTTAATTGCTAAAATAAAGTTTAAAAACTGAGGTAAAAATTGGGGTTTACTAAAGAGCTTACAGTTCCTCTTCCACTTCTCTTTTTTCCCTTTTATCTCAGAAACTCAATGAAGATTTTGAATTCTCTTGTTGAGATTTGAATGATTGATCCTGATTCCTTTGTCAATTATAGTTGGCTTGATGTTCTTATTAGAAAATTCCAAGTATGATAATGGATTTCACATGCAATTTTTCTTTATGACAGACACTAACAAAGCTACCATTTTCAAGAAATGGTTTCACTGATGAGGAGTAGGAGAAGTTCAAAGTAATTGCATGTTATCTGAAATCCTGACTTTCGATTTTTTTTTTTTTTTGTCCTTGCAATAAATCATTGTACACTGCTTTTATTTGTATTGTTCTTTATCCTGCAGTATTTGCTTCAAGGTGATGACTTCTACAGGATAAGACTCCCATCCAATATTCTAAGTCCTCCTGGGAGGAATTATATTGTCTCATCAGTGAAAGCGGTAAGTTAACCACTTAAAGGTGTTTTCAAATTCAAAACTTTTTGTGATCTCTCTGGTCAATCATCTTCCTCTCGAGGATTTTACTACTATTTCATAAGCTCTTAAGCTTGTTGGTCAAATAGACATTTACTTTTCTGCTTTTGGATTGAAACTTTTTTTTTTTTTTTTGAACCCAAGGAAAGCTTAATATTATGGCACCGCCATACGGCATCTACAATTAAACCAGAGAAAGAACAACTGGAGAATAAAGCCAGAGTAGACCCACATCTGCAGCGGTAAGGAAGGGAGGTGAACAACACACTCGAACAACCTCAAAGGAACAAATCTATACACGTTCCGTTGGTCGATCGATTCAGCTAGGTGGACACCCTTCAATCTACTCGTGACCAGGTTGCACCAAGTCTCCAGGACGTCGAGGCGGGGTTCCAAGCGAGCGGCAGCCACCAGATCTGGGGAACTAGCGACCACCACAGCAAATCCGCGTGATAGGATGGACGGCCACCAGATCTTAATGGGAAAGAGAAGAGAAGATTGGATTGAAACTTTTTGATCATGTAGTTATCTGTCAGATTTAAGGTATTTACCAACTTATGTTCAACCAAGTTCAAGAGGGGGTCTCTACAAACTGCCTTAAATCTGTTTAAGAAGTTGAATAAATTTCCCGTAAATTTTGATGCTATGAAATTTTGATGCCGGCAGTGGAATCCTTCTTAAAACATTTTTTTTACACGTGCGTTTCCACACGCGTGCAATTCTCATCTCAGCCCCGTCACCTCTAAAATCCAAAACCCTAACCGCTTCTTAACTTTGCTCCTCACTAGCGAACGACACTGCTGAGGAGACGCCCGGAAACTGAGTCCGAGGAATTCGAGATCTTGACTAAATTAGATTGGGGTTCTGAAATTTTGTTTATTTTCTTTCCTAGGTGAGTAAGAGATCGAATTCAATCATTCAATTTGTTTTTTAATATTTTCCTCCAATTTTTTGTTTGAATGTCTTAGTTATACAAATGAATTTGCTTGTTAGTTTTATAGCTTCAAATTTGTCTCCGCAGAATTCTGTAACTGGGTTTAGTTTACAAAAATGATTGACAACGATTTGTTGTTATCAAACCCTCACGTTGAAGTGACTATTGAGCCTTTTATATGTATCCATGTTTTTATACTCCTGCCGAATCGATATGCATCCATGATTTATATGGCTGTTGTGAGGCTTTGTTGTCCTCAATGAATCATTTTCCTTTAGTGTAACCTTTGATTGGAAAACATGGGATTTCTGATTGATTCTATAAGTATGACAGTTTGAACAGTAATTTATATTGTTGGAGGTTGTAAATAGATTGTTAATAGAACTTCTGAATATGGGTCGAGAAGGAAAACGCAAAAAAGAATAGAAATGAATGATTTGATTATGTTTACTGTTCTTTTTTTAATGGTGCTAATTATATCTTCAGATCAACTCCACTGATTATCAAACTTATTCAAAATGTGTTAATGTGCATGTGCCTATTAAATTTCACCTGTTAAAAAGTATGTTACTTTTCCTTTTACTGAGTTTTGCATATCAACCATTCATGCAATCAGCTGAATATATTTCTTGACCTATGTAAATGTTGATGAGCTGCATGCCACTAAATGGTGGTGCATTCGTATCCTAATGCGCATTCAACGGCAGGCATGTCGATTATTTATTTAAGATGGGGAAGTTTCTGTATTATTGACTAGAATTCATTCTCTCATTTCTAAGTAGTGTGATTGGTAGTTCAAGAATGAGTATTTATTTGTGGATGGAATATGACTTATCTTGAGTTCAAGTCAAGGGGGCAGCTCATGGTTATAACCCATAACATAACAGATGAGTGCTTCCAAGTTCCAACTATGTTTATGCCATCCTTCAAAAAATTATTAAAATTAATTGTTAGGAGTTGGGACCATGTTTGTTAAAGCGTTTAGGTGCTTAAGATGACTTAGTAACTGTACACAGTACATTACCTATGTAGAAAAAGCCTTTGTTATTGGTTCCATTAGAACTGCAGTTTCACTTAATACCTGATTGTCTTCTTGGGTAGATGAGTGGAGGAGATCTGGAGTATGAGCATTTTCTTAAGTAGAGAGCATTTTGACGTGGATTGGCACAATTGAAGGTGGAAAAGGAACCATATATGAGGCTTTTTCATACAAACTTTCCTTGTAATTTCCATTGGACTACCCTTTCAAGCCACCTCAAGTCAGGTTTGAAACCATGTGCTTCCATCCAAATGTTGATCAGGGGGGAACATTCCAGTATTCTTCAAGTATCAAATTAAGCAAGTATACTGGTTTTCAGTTAAACCATTTGCTCTTAACAGCAGGAGAGCAAGATTGGGAAAGGAAACCTTTACTTGTTTCTGTTATATTCCAGTGTTTGAACTTATTGCCTAGGTGGTTATTGGAATTATAACATTTTTTCATTTTTTTATTTTTCATGGTATAGCTTTACTACTAAACCAAGGGATCATTGGTTGTGGAATTTTTTTTATTTAAATGTTTATTAATTAAAACTCACCTTAATGTTGCGATAAGACAAATGGTCTTCTGCTTATGATTGCAAAACCATTCTATTGTCCATTCAAAACCTGTAAGGAGATCTGGTTTCTCTTTCTTTCATATTTAATCCAAGACACTGGTAAAATATCCCTCTAAATTGACCAATAACTCTTCTTGCATGCAAAGCTAATCCCAAGAATACCCTCAACAGCTATGTTGGAGCAATAAAGAAGGTTGAAGATTGGACCATGTCATTTCCCATATCATATTTAATCCTCATTGCTGTTATTTATTGTGTTTGAAGATTAAGTTTCAAAGTTTAATGTTCTTAGGTTGACAACTGTTTATTGACCTAAACTAGGTATTATGTATTACGTAGATGCATTAAACTTTAAGGAATTTAATTATTTGGGAAGGAAACGATTGAACTCGTATGCCAACTATACAATCTTTTTCTTGCGTAGAATTGCAACACTCAAACCTTTTATTATATAACTATTAAAATAAGCTTAACGGCCATGATTCTGTATGCTTATTCTATTATGGTTTCCATTTCCTTTTCACAATTACAAAACTAGCTACAAGATTGAAAACCTTTGTTAGTTAATTCCTTGCTGTTACTACTCCCTAACATGTTCAGCTTAAGGGTTGGGAAGGATCTCTGTGGCTCCCTGTGCTCCCAGAGAATTAGTTCTCTTCAATATCATTCAAGCAGACTTCAAAAGAAAACCTTCTCATCAATAAGTAGAAATTTGGGGATTTGGTACATGTAAATGAAGAGGGGGCTCGTAAAGGAAGTTGTCCAGTTATTCTCTTTGGTGTGAAGGGAATTGGAAGTACACTAGAAGGCAAAAATTTTGAAAGGAAGAGTAGGGAGATAGGAATCATCAAAGTTTCCTAGAGAAATTTAACTTGCACATAGGGAATGGAACCTTGAGGACTATTACATGAAAGAATCTAGCAGGAGCACCGCCTTGGCTAGCTATTTCTATCATCAAATTTCCCTCAATGTAAACGATCGGCATGGTATGTGCATTTTTGTTTATAAACAAATTAGTAACTATATATAATTCATGTCTGCTCTTTTTTGTTTTTAATTTATAATATTATGTCAGACTTATAAACATTTTCTTTTCTTTTTTTTTTTTAATTTGCCAAAAACGAGGGGTTTTATGATAAATACATTTAAACCCTTAAAATAGAAAAACAGCAAATCAAATGGAGTGAATGGGGTTTATTATTCAGTGCCCTTAGACACTCATTCCTAATGCATATTACTAGCATATCAACCAACAACTCTATTTCTAGACGATACTCAAAACGTGAGAATGGATGCATCAGAAAACAACTTCAAATCAGTACTTCATAAGCCTGGGTCAAACAATGCACAGTTGCAAGTACAAGCGACGGGACCTTGGGGTGGATCCTTTGGCATCCCTCTCTTATGGGCTTATTTGGTTTACCACTTCTTAGAAAAAGAATCTAGGGAAGCCCAACCAAACGGGCCTTTAAATTCGAATAGCTCA